TGTTTGCTCATAATTTTATATCATCCAAGGTCATATTTAGCATACTTAATTCCCATTCTTTCTTCTGTAAGATAGGCATAACCACAGGAATACGGTCCCTTCTGCATGGTCAATTTGAGATGGGAAATTATTATCATTGTTTCATTTTCATCACTTTGTCTCATAGAATTTAAATTTCTAAAATATAATCTTATCATATAATTGTACTGAATGAGAGGGCAGAAATCATTCCGTAAATCTGTAAATGCATAATGCACCACTAAACTTTAATTACTGTCAAAATACTTATTTGATGGTATGACTATATATCATAAATTTATTAAATATTCTAGCTTACTAGTAACCAGACAGAACGAAGATCATAATTGTGCTTGTGTCCCCAACCCTGAGATACAAGCTAGGCTAAATTTCAACTAGGTTTCGTCGCCATCTAAATCGGATTTACACCCATGAATTTATTTTGAACTATCTTCAAGTTATACCAATAATGGACGTATTAAATTTCTCATTTTTAGGTGCAAAGATTTTAGTAGTTAGGATGCGGCTTTTAGTCGCACTTTGCTTAAGGTTTTATCCATGTACAAATATAGCTACTAAATTATTCATTTTATTTCACTTTATGCTTTTGTCCATCAGATTAATTTTATGCGCCCTCTGGATCATGTGCCAGGCTGGTGTCGTCTAGTTGGACAGATGTGCTGCCTTGCTAGGCAACGTCGGCAGGCCTGTGCCCAGGGAATAAATATGGCAGCATCAGACTTCCAGCCTCCTTTTGGCTCTGCTAGTTCTGCATCAGCCTATTCTAAAGCCGATGAATCTGGAGCCAACTCTGCCCAGAATAACGAAAATTTAAAACATAACAACCCGTCTGGACAGTCGATCCCTTTTTCTCTTCCAATATCGGTAGCGCTGACAAAGTTGACACCAGAAGGAATAAACCGTTCAGCCGACGAACTTGACTCGGAGGCATTTGCTTCTATCAAAGAAGGTCCTGTATATCAAAGGGCTAGCATTGATATGAATGATATGATGAGGGTATTATCGGAAGATAAATGTAACAACGATGCTGGGATGCAGTTATACTATTCTGAGGGGCTAGCAAGAATTGCAAGAGTATGTATTGGATTTATACACTTTTCCCACCATTAAAAATCCAAGAAGCTGCCTATTTTCGTCTTAAAGTGTCATTTGAAAGAAGTCACTTCTGATATTTGCACTAAAGAATGAAATTTTATTCTTAAGAGTATGGAGTGAAGTACAAGTAGTAGGAGCCC